TTTTTTAATGAATCGAAAATTAAGAAAAAAAATTAAAAGAAAATGGGGAAGAAAAGACACACGATCGACCCTCTCAACGAAAGCACCAATGATGAAGACCGTGTGTCTCGATTGTCGACAAGCCGCTCCCGCGCCTTAAATCGCTCGATAGGTGTTAGGAAGTCGCACACTCGCAGCCTTTCTAATGATTATAATTGCAATAGAAATCAAGAAGAAAACTAGAGCAAAGAGATTGAACAAAAGTATTGATTTCTGAATGATTAAATTAACAAGAGGAAGGGCCTTTATATATGCATCAACTAGATCTAATCCTAATATAACTATAACTCTAATAAAGCAATAAAATATTAAGTATCCTATACAAACTAGAAAACAAGGAAATAAAATATTAATCAAGCTATTTAACTTATTTCTTGCTTGCGCCCCAAACCGCCTTGCCCCGCGTCCGCGTTGCCTAATCCTCGTGCGCCTAGGTAACTATGCGCGTGCACCTCATCGCCTGCGCGTTCAAACTCACGTCGGTCCCCGATAGTGTCGCGCGCATCATCTCCCGTGCGCGCGCGTCCGTCCGCATATCGCACCTCGCTGGCACGGCGACTTAACCTCCTTCGCGCATGCCACGCGCGACTTGTTGCATTCTTGAGTCTTCTCGCCGTGTCCGCATCACAGCGCCCCAGCGCACGCACAGCGCACGCCAGCGCCCGCACAACGCCCCAACGCACGCACAGGGTGATGGAAAGAGTGATCGTGTTGTTATCTATTTCCGAGTTGGGTTGTGAACAAACGGCGCACTCAGGGCCTTCGTTTATCCACGATAGGTGTATCTAACAGACACATTACGGCCTTCTCCTAGATACCGTGACTTCAAGACGCTCTAACGGCCTTCTCTCCGACACTGTATGTAAACACGCACTATCGGCCTTGTTTAAACACACGTTAAGAACATCAGTTCCCCCTCAAGATTGGCTCACCAAGTCAATACTCAATTCAAGACATAAAATAAGATGAGGTACATGGGGTATTTATAGTTGCAAAATAAATCTAAGCCTAACTATACTAGATCTCCTAAATCTTGCAAGAATAGAAATCCTAACACTAGAAAGCAATAAAATCCTAATACTACCCAAAATACTAATGCTTGGCTTGCACACCAAGCAATTCTAGAAGCTCCAAGTCTTCCACACGCCTCAAACCTTCGGCCGCCTCATCGCGTGTGTCGCCCTCACGCCTTGCCCTAGTCCTCGAGGACTAGGGCTGCACCGCCTTCGCCCATGTATGTCCTCTCGCCTCGAGGCTTAAGGTCTCGTGCCTACATGCGCCATTCCTATTCCT